CAGAAATAATTTAGATCACCCCATGAGGAGACCTTTCCCACAGGTCCCTGGGTTAAGCACCCAATTCACCCACTGTACTCCTGCTCCTGCACAGAGCAGGTGAAATCTCTTCTTATGGTCCCAACACATGAAACCACACTCTTATTGGGAGGTGGATAATTATTGTAACACCCAACTCTGCCCCCAAAACTGCACAAAGGAATTTCTGGGTGTTTCCCCACTGTTAATCTGTTTGTCTGTTTTCTTACCATGTTAATCTCAGTGAGAATAACATTGACTTTAAAGTCTTTCAAGTCATTATGACAAGTGAGCCTGGCAGTAAATTCTTCCATATCAAGAAAAAGACAAATTGCACTGTGCTGCATATTATGCCATCGTACTACTAATTGCTGAACTTGATAAATGCCTTCTGATAGGTTAATGAACAAAGATGTTAATTGCCCTTATCTGAAATAGCTGCATTTGCAGGGACGTTTTCTGGAGCCATGGATGTCTTCTAACAGAGATTTATTTCAAATCATCCATTGTTTTCAGCAGTTTCAGAGTCCATTACCCTTCAGTGTGCCAGCAGAATAGTCTCCACCCCCGTCAAAGTTTTGAGAGCAATCAACTCTTCCTACGTGTTACTCAGCAGGTCTGAATTTTATGTGGATATGGAAAACGTACATATAATACAGATGCTCAGCATTCTGGGCTACAGCAGGAGCATGGCTCATTCTTAAAAGCATCCGAGAGAGAAATAAGTACCTGCCAGTGGAAGAGCAAGGGTCTGGAATAGCCCCGTTTCCCCCCACCATCTGGAGTATCTAATTGGGAAAATTATTCTTTGTTGTTGTTGTGTTGGTGGGAGCTGTCAGTCTAAATATGTTTTAATGCAAATAACTATCTCTATTTGTAGAATTCATCTTTTCCAGACGCTTTCTTTGGAAAATATGCAGCTGAAGATTTAGTACATTATTATATGAGTAAGTGCATACAAGCCTCGTATTAACAATGGACGTCATGTTTATTCTTTCCCTTTTAGAATTTCCCATGGAAACAAGTGGGCAGATTTTTGCATTATTGAGTAGTTTGCTGCTGCTGACTTTTCCCAGAAACACGAAGAGAAAACGAATCTTTTGCGGGAGGCTAGATGTTCTTCCAGTTTTGGGAGCACTGGATCCCCCTAGGATTTGATCTGTAGTAGGTTTTGGTGTGTGGCTATTCTGGTGCAAAGTTGTTTCAAAGCTTTATGATAAATAAATCTTTATGGAGTTGAAAAAAAGACAGAGTTCTCACTGAGGTTAAAACATACCTGATTTCCCAACGGAGAAGCTGAATGTTTCATTAGAGGGCTAAAGGCTAATGTGAAGAGAAAAGTATTTCCTTGACTTGGGGTTTTTGTTTGTTGAAATAAATTGCATTTTCACTTATGAGTCTCCTACAGTTTTTCAGATCATGTTCAACAGCAAACAACCAGAAGTTCAAACTGTAACTGTAAATCTGTAAGCTGATACTTGTAGATTCTCTGGCCAAAGTTTCCTAAGTCAGGATTAATTTTGTAGAGTGAAGGAGAAAAGTCCATTATCTTGCTTCGTTTGTTAGATTTCAGACTTTGCCAAGAAATATAAATCTCCTTTCAAAAATGACAGATATAAAAATAAGAGTTACTATTTTCTCAAATAAAGGCATTTTCAACTGAACTTGATGTATTGCTGCTCAAAGACGCTGTGGCTTTGGACTATCTCATACTAATAATTAGACTGAAGTATTCAAGTCCTCGGCTCCCCCTTGCTCATGATGTGCTGCCCCTAAGTTATGTTAACATAATATTTTCTATTTCATGTTAGAAATAGGGCTGAGGGAGCTCAAAAGTAATCTGGCAAAAGCTGGATGTGTTCCCTGATCTGCCTGACGCCACAGCCAGACAAATATTTGTACGGGCAGAGACAAAGTGGGTGGATGGAGGTGGGAATGCTGCTTAAGACTAGCACTGATGCCAGATGCTTCGTGGTGACCCACTGAGGATCTGTCTCGTTTAAGGTGTTTTCAAATCTCTGAATCCACATTTCTGGTCTTGTGCGTTGTTCTGATTTGAATTTCCCATGGAGCGACCTGGGGGTGAGGATGCAGCTTCTGGGGGTGGGTGCAAACAAAATCAGCTGCAACATGAGAAGGTGCAACACTTGCACTGCTTATTTATCAACCACAGTGATTCACCCTGATTGGCATTTACATACCTGAATGTCAAAATAACCTGTGTTTTAAGAGGAACCAGTGACTCAGGCTGTGGTTTTACCCCAGGCCATTTCCTGATAAATGGCTGAACTGTACCTGGTCTTGAGAAAACACAAGTGGGGAACACGGCCCTGTCCTCCTGTCTGTGTGTGTGGAGAGATTAGGGAAAGGACACCTTTGTGTGGGGCTGACCTTCACCTCACGAGTGCTGTGGTCTCTGTGAGGAGCACCACAGCCTTGTGAGCTCTGGGAAGCCTCAGGTCTGAGGACAGCTCTGATTGCAGTGCTTCTTCAGAGTGTTTCTGCACAACCCTGAGGTGGGAGCATGGTCTTCAGTGTTGGACAGCATGTAGAAGCACAGTTTCAAGAGCTCTATGCAGTGATAAATCACTTTGCTCCACACTTTCTTGGTTGCAAAACAGAGGTGAAGCTGCCTGTGGTTGGTGTTTTCAGAACTGAAAACATTTCAATTCTTAGAACATTGGTGGTTTTAATGAAGCAGGAAAAATGCATGTTGCTTTCAGGGATTAAAGTATATTTGGGCTACCCATTTTTAAAGTAAGATAGCAAACAACTGCAGTGAAGCTTTGTGTGGAGTATGGCTGGATAGAGTGTATGGAAATGGGCTCATATAATGCTGTATAAACTACCTCATTGGCTGTCATTTGGAGACATTAACCGTCTGTATAATTCCGTGTTACGCTTTAGGTAGTCTTCCCATCCTTTGCAAACTTCAAAACTCTGTGTTCCTCCATTTTCCATAAGGAAAAGAACTGTCCTGTGAGAAGAGGTGTAGCCCTACTTTTTGTGTGGCTACAGAGCTGTGGTTGGACTGGATCAGTTGTCTTTAATGCTGTTTAAGTGGATGGTTTAAGGTATAGAGGAGGCTTCTCTTGGGAACAGCTTCTGTGAGAATTCTTCAAATCCTCTTTGAAGTTAATGGAGGGTATTAAGGGCAGTGAGCACCTTCTTAAAAGAGAAATTTAAATTACTTTGATTCGTTTCATTTTATATTTGCATCAACTGGTCCTGGGTTTCTCCCTTCTCCAGTCTTTCCGAGCATGTTTTTGATAACTTTGCCCCCCTGAGCATACTAGATTTTATGTTGGCTGTTTTGATATTTTTTTTTCCCTGAGTGTTGTAATGCTGATTACTGAAGGATCTTGGGCCTTTGGCTTCCTGTGAGGATGAGATAATTACCCTCCAGTAGGCAACGCATGACGTACGGTATCAGCATTAAGCCACTGGGATTCCAGTCACTAGTGTAGAACAATATTGTGGGTAAATGAATAAGCAGGAGTTTATCATACTTCCTGCATAACAAGGTTTTCGTTAAAGAGACAGTGAAAACTGTTTTCACCCAGGGCTGGGATGAAACGAGCGCTGCCGCAGGAGCCGCTACCGAGAAAGATATTGAGGTTGAGTTGTGTGCCTCGCTGGGTTATTCTTGCTCAAAAGGCAGCTGAATTCTTGTAGCAGCAAAGGTGGGTGACAGGGCTGTCGCTGCGTTTTTGGCGGATGACGTTCATGGGCTTATGAACATGTATGAAGTGTAGAACTTCAAAGGACGGTTCCCAGATGCACCACCTACTTAACTTATGGAAGAATGTTGTACCAATTAGAAACAGAGACGTTCCGAATGCAATTTGCTTGTTTCACACTCGCCCCCAGGAATCCTGTGTTGTGATTTTAGGAGCTGGCCCTGTTTGACCCTGAAATAGATGTGGTTTCTTCCTTGCCTTCTTTATTCCAAGGCTGTCAGTTAAAAATACCTTACGTATTGGGCGCAGTGGGAGTAAGTTTGAGAAGTTGAAGTTATGTGTAAACCAGTAATAGTGAGAAAATAATTCATAAATGTAATGAGCCCTGTTCTCTTGCAAGACATGGTCAAGCCGATGGTTTGTTCATTAAATGGGATTATTTTTTCTTGGTTGGAAAATAGTTTCTCTGCCATACCAATACTGATCAATTTGCTAACAAAGCAAAGTAAATGATGCCTCCAGAAAATAGTCAACTACTTCAAAAATTCCTTGCATAAAGTACAATGTATGTACACATACTCAGTAGACACACAGCTATAGATCTGTGTATTAGCTTCTGTTTAGGACATAATTTTATGTGTGCTTGCATAGATACACTTCCATTTCAGCTTATCTCAGAGATAATTGTACTTCTGCAATGCCTAAGAATTACAGGGATACTAATAAGGAGTTTAGGTTAGTTTTCTTGCAACTGTCACTTTATGTTGTACATGTAATTGCAAAACTCAGTTGCTTATTTGTGTTTTAATTGTGGCTTCCACTTTAAACTGGGCATCAGCACTCAGTGTAGGAAAGCAGTACTTACATATAGGCCGAGATGAGTAGGTTGGTTGCTCTGCTTTTGCTTGAGTCTTAAATCTGAGGGCTGGATCTTTGGAGCCCTGAGAACCACTGTCAAATGTAGGAGTCTAGATCTTGATTTATGTGCTTGATCAGACTTGCATGAGAATGCGGGGAGTAAAACTACCTTGCTGTAGCACAGTGCTGTTCTCCCCGTGTGACTGAGATGCTTCTTCATACATTGAGAGCACGTTCATGGCCAGACTCCTCCACAGCTCAATTCAGCTTGAAATTAAGTTCTATTGATTTTTGGGCCCAGGGCAAATTTTGCTTTCCAGTTAGATTTTGCAGATATTTTCAACAGCCAAGAGAAGTTTTGATAGCGCTGTTCTTACTTTGAAATTGTGAAACTTCTGGCGACTAAGTAAACATTTTTTTTTCTTCTCCTTTCTTTTCTTGCAGCCAACTGGGTACATGGAAAACTCCATTTCCTACAGTGCTATTGAAGATGTTCAACTGCTCTCCTGGGAGAATGCCCCTAAGTACTGTTTACAGCTCACGATCCCGGGGGGTACTGTCTTACTGCAGGTACAGTAAACACACAAGTACAACTTTCTTTCTCTCTTACTACGAATCTCCTTTAACTTCTGTTTCCTATGCATGAAATCTTAATTAGATGGGCTCAGAAAAGGCAGAGAACCCAGTACTGTCAGATTATCTAACCACCAGAAAATTTGCTCAGCATGATAGCTCTGAAGCTGTTCCTGTTGTTCAGCAGTGAGAATGGAAGCTTTGGGCTGCAGTGATTAAATCTTCTGGCTGATTTTATGCAGCAAAATAGTGCTCTGTGGATAGGCACATTGATGCAGGCCTGGAACAATTGTGTTTTTACATATGGTCCTATTTCTGCATGGAAAAAGTTACAAATTCCATCCCTCAGTTCATATAGGAAACCCAGAACTTGCACTGGAACTGGCAGATATCTATTTTTAAAGTATTTAATCTCCACTGAAAGATTTCAGTGTATTTGTATGGATACCTATATATGTTACTTCAGCAGAATCCCAGAGAACACAGTCCTTGACTTCAGCCCTTCAAGGGATGCCTGTGCTTGGCATTTGGGATAGTTGTGGAATGTCATAAAAATATCACAAGGTTTTGATGGGTTTTGACATGGCAAATATGTTTACACTCTGAAATGGTTGGAGATGTTCATGGAAACATCCATGGCCACATCCTTTGTGGAGTGTATTTCTGGAGCTCCCTTTCCTGTGGTGTAATCCTGGGGGTTGTAGCCCTGTCAAAGGGGGCTGTAGCCATTCCCTCTTTCTAATCTGAAAATGGTGCAGTTAAGTAAGTTTGGGGTGAACATCAAACTTTGTGGACTCTCTTGGTGCATAGGTGGGATTTGTGTGTCTTTTCTCATGTCCTTGAAGCACAGGCACATGTCCCATTGCACATGGAACACATGGAAGTGCCTCTACTCAGTGACTATTTCTGTGGCTCAGAATGACTTACTGATTTTTGGGTATTACTGTAGGGAATCTGAATTTCAGACAGGCTGCTGCAAGTCCACCGACGTCCTCATTCCATGGTTTGAAAAACCTCTGCTGTACATGACATCAGGGAGGGCTGGGAGACAAGCCATGCTTTCCCCATCAGCTAGATTAGGGTCCTCATTATTGATGAAATCTTCCTTGCCTCATCTGTTAATTGGATTAATTAGAGAGAAAATAATTTACGAAGCTGATTCTTTTTCCTGTGATAATTTTGATACTGGTTTTTTTTTTTTCCATACTGGTGGTAGCATTTATGTCTATATCTGTTTGAACAGATGGAATAATTACACCTGCCTTTCCAAATTCTGTTTCTAAGTCTTTATTCTGTAGTTTATGGCAGCTGCCTTTATGGGACTGCTTATTGGGAAACAAGATAAAGGTTGAACCCACAGCTCCCCGCTGACTTGAAAGGAAATGGGTAGGGTGGACAGACTGTCATCTGCAGCAGCCTGCCATTTGATTTTTTTAGAAAAACAAAACCAAAAAAACAACCAACAAACCAAACCCAAAAATAATTGGGTTTGTGAAAAAGTGACCTCTTAGCATGGATACTTTGGTATTTTCTACAAAAAGACTGATGTCTTTATGTAACCTCATAGGAACTGATAAAGAAGCAGAGTGAGCTGGACTTTTACTGCTGACTGGCTGAGCAGACAGGATCAGGTTACATTAGAACTATGGGAATTTCAACATAATTGAAAATACAAACTTTAAAAATGTTTTCAGTATGACTTGGTCCTTGGTACTGTCTCGGTTCATCAAATGTGGTCAGATCAGAGGGAGTGTAAAATTAGATTTCCCTTTTACAGTTGTAATGTGTGTTCACCAATGCAAAACAGTTCTCAAAGTTATGTTTAGTCTGCTCAAGAAATCAAGTTGCAGAAACTGGATCTATGAAGTAGTTGAGTTCAGTAGAAATTCTCTGAAGTCCCTGACAAAGAGCAGAAGTATCCACAAGACCCATTCACTGAGGAGCTGGGAAATGGAGGTGAAAGCAGCCCTTGCACAGCTGAGCTGTTTCCAAGAGACTTCAATACTTCTTTGGGAAATTATGGCTTCCAGTTTTTAATAAAATCATTCTGCCCTGCTAATCTGAGCAGCATCATGTTCTGATGTCATGTCCAGCTCTAGTATCAGGAAGTGTGTGATAGTGGAACAAGTCAAACTAGTCCAAAACATGTTCCCCACTACTGTTTGTTCTGAAGTGCACTTTTGGTAAATTTTTTTTTTTCTTCCAAAGATTTAATGTAAATGAGGGGGAGAGGTGTGTGTAATATATATATAATGTTTAAATGAACTGTTTTGAGAACCCCCAAATAATTTTTCTAACCTAAACAATTGGATGAAAAATGCCCTGAGAGAGTCCCAGTCCGTGTTCAAGTTCTCATCCCCTCTCTGCTGGCACCAAGGTCTATTTCTGGCTCATTACTGCATGGTAATGAGTCAGAGAGGGAAGAGTGCCATTACCTTTCCTTACATCATCCTGATGCCGTCCCATAGCAATACTGACCCATCCCAGCCCATCTGAACACGACACCTGACGTGCAGCACCGGAGGTGATGCAGCTCCTCTTAGGAAATGGGATCCTGATAACAGGATGTGTCCACCTGGGTTTCACAGGAAGACTTGGTTCTCAGGCAGCAAACAGCTTAATCCAGGCTGGGTTCACGCTGAAAAGTCACCTCCATGTGCGATTTGCCTCCCACTCAGTGTTTGTTGTATGAGCACAACTGTCAGAGCACAGGCGTGTTTTACCACCCGGCATTTGGTGACTCTCACTCTCCCTTGTGGGAGTCCTGGACAGTCAGGTTTCTGAGGATCATGAACTGTCAATTTTCTAGACACATTGGAGGCTTGTGTTTTCTTTCCTCCTGCCCAATAATGTGGTCCCTGGATCCTTTTTTGTGAGCAACAATCAACTCTCACAGATTTTCTTTCTTTCCTACAGCTGGGATGGCAGGTGTGAAAGAAGGTGTTGCTGAAGCTGGCTCATAGGCCACAAGCCCTTCAGGCCAGGAAATGGGAGCTAAATTTAGCTTTTGATGAAGTGTGAGCTCTTTAGTATCAGTAATAGCTGTGCCTCCTTGAGCTGGGCTAGACTTCTGCTCTTTTGCTTTCCCTTTGTAAAGCACAGGGTGTGATTATGGTATTGTGTGGATGATTATGAGGAGGATGCTGCCACTGATAGTGAAATAACTGGAAAAACCTTTTGAAAGAGATTGGGAAAAAAAAACCCCTTACAGTATAATTTCATGAGCTGCTTAGCACCAAATGTAGGAAGAGTCCCGGGGAAAAGGCTTTGGTATTTCAGTCCTGACAGTGCTGTCTGCTTTCCCATGATGTCCTTTCAGCCTTAAAGCCACCACTTCCATGCCTATCGCTCGTGTTGTTTTATTCATTTCTTGGCAATCGAGTGCAGTCAGAAGGAAAAACAAACAGAACAGGAAGCCTTGACAAGCACAACAGTCACACGTTCAGCTCCGTGCTCGAACACGCTGTTTGTGCCAGGGAGTCCCCATGATAAGTGTTTCCACTGGGTTTTTAGTAACATTTTATTTTAGTCTCCTTGCAGAACCTGGCTTTTGTTTTAAGTGCTGGTCCAGCCAAAACTGTGTGGAGAGGTCATGCAAGGACCAGAATCCAGCAGAGACGGGGAATATTTTAAGGAGGAAAACAGTGTTTCTAACAATTACCAGCACCTCTGTCCATACCCTGGGTTAAGCCAGGAGAGTGGCAGCTTTCACTTGAAGGCTTGCCCGAGTCCTGGAGGTAGGACACTGGATTTACATCAGCAATGTGAAGGTTTTGTGCAGTCTGCATGAGCAGTGTGTGTGTACCATGGGCCTTGGCTTCCTGCAGCCCTGGGCCGCTCTGCTCTGCTGACAATAAACTGGTGCACAGAATCCTGCAGCATTTCATGAGTCCCAGTAATGAATATCAGCTGGAAAAAAGCATAACAAACCCCCATCCTGCTGACCATGAAGCAAGTGAGGGAGAGAGAGAAAGGGAATTACAGAATAAACCCATGAAGAGTCCAAACCAGAATCTGGATCATCAAGCCCCACCTATTGCCACATCTTTTCGGATGGCAAAATCCCCTGGAAGGGTACGCGGGAAGGACGCTCCTGCAAGGAGAAACCTGGGAACGTTCTGCTGCATGGACAAGCCTGTTCTTGCATTCTTCTGAATTCTTTTTGTTACTGTGCCAGTAACAAGGGGTGCTGTGGTGGTAACTTACTGTTAAAGGGAATGGGAAAGGTCTTCCCCATCATTTCTGGAGGGGTTGGTTTCTTGCAGAGTTTCAGGTGTTCTGTTTCTCAGCAGCACACAGGTTCCTACGTTGTCTCCTCCTTGCCTGGGTGGAAATTACTGCAGGGGCTGTAATGCTGGCATGAAACAAGTGTTCAGTTCCCTATTTTTGTGAGCAAAAAGAAAATCTGCTTTTAAAATGTTACACTGCTTTTTAATAAAAACGTGTGTTCCTACCCACTGACTAAGAATTGAAGTAGTTTGGGTGAAGGGAAAATACTTCCCTTTTTGAGCAGAGGTGTAAATTTACTCATGTTGACCAAAGCTTTGCATATGCAGGCATTTAATCTCTTGCACAGTTTTCCTGTGAGCGTTTTAAAGCTGATGAGATTAATCCTGTGAGGAAAGTTTATACTGCAGGTGATCCCAGGTGGCTTTTCCTTTCTGACTGAACATTTACACCCCAAAAATGAGGGTATAAAATCCTTCAGAACAGAATTCCAGGATCAGTTAATCTTAGAAAAAAATACTGCCAACAGTAGGCTTTCTTAAAGTAGATATTCTTCCTCACTGGAATAATAAATAAGCTACAAGTAGTTTGAATCTTCTTGTATCCTGTTTTCTTAAGTATTTTTCTATTATGTTGTGGTTGTGCAAAACCAACATGAGGGATTGATTGTGCAAGAAGCTCAGCTGGACTGTGTGCCACCCAGAACCCTGCTAAAGCCACTGCCTTTGAGAACAAAATTCTTAGCAGAATTGGGGCCTAAACATACTGAACACACTGGAGACCTAAACTATTATTTTACATAGATAAGTTTAAAAAAATTCAGTTGTACTCCAGTCCTTTCTCACTGTTTGTGCCAATAGCAGGCAAAACATTTCCATGTTGAAGGTTTTTTAAGTTGGAAAGGTGTAAGATGAGTGGTGTAGGACTGGACCCAACTGTGTGGGCAACGCTGAGAGTGAGGAAACTGTCCCTGTGCGGTCAGAATGCCTAAGGAAAGCCTGGTTTAAAGTCTTTTGTGTCTCATTTTCTCCTTTTTATTGTACCCTAGGGCTGTATAAATATAGTAGCCGATGCCCACAGCTGGAGTAGAAAACCTAGGTGTCAGTTCTCAGGAAATACATGAGCTCAGTGCAGAAGGGCTGGGCTCCCTCAGTGCAAAGCAGATGAACCTGTAGATGTGTATGTGCAGCCCTGTAAATGAACTGTAGTTCCCTCCAGTGCTTTACACTTCGGTGTTCATTGCTCCAAACTTGAGAAGTGTTGTGCCCAGTAACCCAGGTGCTTCAGTAGGTCAGTGCATGCAGAGTTGGCCATCAGCTGGACAGCTGAGCACCCCCAAGAGCCTGGGGGCTCTTCTGTCATCCTGGCCTGCTGTGAGCTCACTGTTCTTTTGATAGGAAAGAAAGATTCCCTGCAGTCCTCTCTCAGTGTAAGCCTGAAAATGAGGAGGGAGGACCGAGGGGCCCCAGAGCGAGCTCTTTGTTGTCCTTTGCAGAAGATCCGGTGTTTCCTGCACGTTGCTGTGGTTTTGCAGCTTGCTGGGAGGCGGAAGGGTGCACTGGGAGGATAATCCCTGCTGCCTGGGAAAAGTGGGGAATGCTGGTGTCAGAGACAGCTCCCTCCAGATAACAGTGGTTGGGTTAAAGCACTCGGTCCATCTGTGTCGAACACGGTGGAAGGAGTGCTGGTGAAATGGCTGTTGACTTTCCAAGTGATCATTAACAGAAGTGTGGGGATTCCCTTAAGGTTTGGTTTTCCATTTTCTATTCCCTTTTTCTCCTGTCTTCATATTCCTTGGCCTTGCATGGCAGCCCGATTTAGAGTGGTTCAGAGTCCTAACTTGGATCCAGGTGCAAGTTTGCTTGATCACTTCTCTATGCTAATACAATAACTAATACTACATGCAGGCAGTGCTCAGTCCCACACTTGGAACCCGGTCACTTTGCTAATTTTACTTTTAAAATGGCTCTCATGTATCGCTGCCATGGAGTTATACAAGTCTTTCCTTTGCCAGTTTTGCTTCCATGTCTTACAGCATTCTCCATTTCTTTTCTCCCCCACTATTTGCAGTCCACTCGTGTCTCCTGCTCTGCGTGATGCTGTTTGACCTCGTTAATAGTTAAGGCTCCAGCTGCTTGCACAAGCTACCTACACATAATATTTTCTAATTATTTGCAGTGGTCTTACAGTCTGCAGCTACTGACGTCCCTAAAGCAGGAGAATAATTAACACTTCTCAACAGTTCCCATTTTGGGCTTCACTATTTGCTCTTACTTTCAACTTCAGTGTCAGACCATTCCAGGGACTGAATCAGGTTGACATTTTGCCTCTTTGAGTGAAGTACTTCATCCCTCTAGAGTATTTTGGGTTTTCTAAATGTAAATAACAGTATCTTAGTTTACCTAGCTCCTATAAACTCAATCTGCCTAATTTTTTTAAGCAAGTAAGGGATGTGCACCTTGCAATATTATTGGTGCTTTTGCTTGGTATACAGCAAGCCTGCAAAAACTTTCAGTTTGACTTATTCTTTAAAGGGCTTTGATGCAGCAATTGAAAAGATGGTCTTTTGTTCTCCTTCATGAACGGGTTTTCTCCTTTAAAAAAAAAAAAAGGAAAAAGAAAAAAAGGTTCAGTTTGAAATTGAATCCTTTGAAGAAGTCTAGTGGGGTTTTAAAGCATTTTATCTTAGATAAGACATATCTAAGCATATTTACTTCATGCTTTTTAAATTCTGTTAAAAGTGTTCTTCCAGCTTTTGGTGGCAAAATTGTTTTTTTTATTATATTAAAATATAGTACAAAGTATATTGAATTGAAATTTAATTCTAGAACATGTATAAGTAAAAAGTCTATCTTGTGTTATAATGCACAAATAAACATAAAATACTTTGTAAATAACAGAAAGAAAACATTAAATATTGACTGAGTGAAACGTCCTGAAAATCTGCACTCTAAATGCTTTTATAGCTTTTCATTGCATGAAAAGAAAAGAAAAAGAAAACAAGAAGAGGAAGTTATGTTTTATGTTTCCATTTGTAGCGGTTTCGTCTTCTGATATCAGCATTATTCTTGAAATGGAAAGTTTTTGATAAACTCTCTGGTCAACCAAGATTATTTATGATATATTTATTCCTGCTTTATTGCCTTGACATCTACTGCAGGAGCAATTGATTCTCATTAATATATAAATAAATAATATGCAACACATATATAAAAGGACATTACTCCATTTAATTCAGAGTAATCAGTCCAAATTTATGTCACCAAGCAATCGGTATCTGACCTTGAGAATTTAAACATGTTTTTGGTAACCATGCAGTGTTAAAATTTTTAGTATTCCTGCCATTATCAATGAACTGAACCAGTGTCAGGAGATGAAATACATTTTGTGGTGTGGATTTTGAATACTTACCCGTAAAGGTGTTGGGGATTGATACTTGTTAAATGTTGCTTTAATTTACAAGAAGTATGTGGGTTTTAGCTGGTGAAGAACCTCACTTTTTATGTTCTTTTTTTTTTTTTTTTTAAACATGGATTTATAGGCTATCCTGTAATTTTCACTGTTTGTGTAAAACATTTTAAATGGTGAGTAAAAATTGCCCATTGGCAGCGCTGAGGTGGAATTGGAAAAGCCAAAGGGCGTCTCTACCCACTCAAATATTTCAGACTCATGTCACCTTGTTAAGGCATGCACGTTTACGTCACTGTGGAGGCTTTTATATTTTTTTGATATGGAGCCTTTTGACCTTTGGGAGTGTTGAACTATTCCTCCATTGGCTACGACCTGGCTTCACACTGGGAATTTCTGGCAGCTGTGCTTAATAGGGACAAAAATGGGTGATGGCTGGGAGTGATTATTGCAACATTTCTGCCGTTGCTGCAAACAGCCCGTGCAAGTATCTGCACGTCTGAGTGTGTCGTGTTTTTCGCTGCCCTAATATTGCTGAGAGAGCAGAGACATTATTTGGATTGCTCTGGGGCCAGCTGAGGAGCAGGACGAGAAGAGAAACCAGAGTATGGAAAAAACCCACCCCTCCTAGTAAAATGTCAACCCATCTTCTTACTCTGCTCCCAGTGATTAATGGCAGAGGCAAATGCCCTACAGACATTAAAGATCTGACACAAACCTGATTGAAATCAGGGAGGACTTTTCACAGTCTTTGGGTTGGACACCATTTCATAGGAGGTTAATATTTCGTAAGGTTTTGGTTCGGTATTTTACGTTTGCAGCGAGGTCTTTGTGTCACTGCTTTCTGTGCAGATAAACTGGTTATGGTGTAAAGTGGCTGAGTGACCTGAAGCACTGGTAGAAACTAATGACTCTGTCTGTAACTTTTCTTCATTGCAGGCTGCAAACAGTTACCTGAGGGATCAGTGGTTCCATTCTTTGCAGTGGAAGGTAAGTTCTGCACTTCACTGTCTTCCTTCTCTGCCTTTAAGAGTACTTTGTAGAATTCCCTGTTCCTTCACTGTAAGAAGAACTTTATCCACTGAAGGGATAAAGTCCTTTTGTTACAGAAACCCTAAATAAGAACATGTATGCAGTCTCCACTTGCTCACGTCACGAATGAAGTGAAAATTATGTTACACAGCCCAGCTTTATCAACATGTGACTGGCTCCAAAAAGTAGATAGCCAGTAAATTCACATTTAGACAGAACAGAGATAGGATGGTTTTAGTTTTGTACTATAAAGTGCAATATCTTACAGAGTGAGTTCACCTATCATATCCTCTGGACTCTTGGGATATTTTGAGAGTTTTTATTTGTTTGCTTTTCCTTTTTCTGAGAAATCAGGGAGCAAGAGTGTCTTTTAGAGTTGTTTACAGTATGCAGCATCAGTCTGTTATGCATCAGTCTATGTTTATGCTTTAGGATGACTTGAAATTAAAGGCAGTTTCCATTTCAGAAACCTCAAGCCCTTTCTCATTTCCAGTGGGAACAATGGGCTGATTGCCCTGAGCAGGGAAAGTGGATCACAGTGACAACATTGTCTCTCAAAAGCAGCACATTCCTTATCAAAACCCGTAGCTGCTGACCTTTGGATGGAATCTCTATGGATCTTTGCAGCTGGAAACAAATTTTGACCAGATGTTGAATATGGTTGTCCTCCCTTGTCTCGTGGTGGGAAACACAAGCAGTAGCTTTTCAGCTCAGGACTTGTCTCCAGCAGGGTTTCAGTGAAGTCAGCCAAGCTGGCTGCGTAGCTTATCAAGATTTCAGCCTGCTGACAGCAACCACATGTGAAAATATACGGAAGCCCCTCCCACCAAACTGGTTTTGTTGTAGGTGTGTTTGATAGTTGCAAAATAGTTGTGTGGCAAGCCTGCAGTGTTGGTGTGCTTTGTGTAGCCCTCAGCTCTGGCAGAGCCGTGTTCCGAGCGGATCCAGGTTCTTATCAGCAGAAGCCAAGTGTTGAGATCTCCTTTTCCAGACCACTGGCATATTCTCCAACCTGTTACCCTGATTGCCCAAATGAGCGTGGGACAGTAGTGCTGATAGCAGAAGGCTGGGCTGTGGTGCAGCACTTTATTTTGGCCTCTTGACAGTATCATTAACACAATGCCCGGCCAGCCTTGCTTTCCCTGCGACTCCTGAGGATAACAAAGCACTTAAAGCACGCAGAGGCAGGACCTCCATGTGGCCCGTTATTTTCCCTCCTGCTTTGGCAGGCAAGGATGATCAGAGAAAGGGTGGACAGAAATTTTAAAGGCATTTGTTTTCCTACCTCACCCCCAGCTGGGATGGCTGTGGTGCCAGTGTGCTGGTGCTTTATGCCCACTTTGTTGCTGCAGTGAGGGAAAAATTGCGGTCAGGGGTGCAACTCTAAAAAAAACAAAACCCAAATAAGATGAGGTAAAGATGCAACCTGGCCACTACCATTCACTGTATCCATTAAATTACTTAAAAACAAAACAAAACAAAAAAAAACAGAAAGAAAGAAAGAAAAAAAAGCCTTGACAGAATGACCTGACTTGCTCACATGCCTTTTGGTCGTGGAGAGGGAGCTTTGCTCTGTGGGAGTTGTTTTTAAAGGAGTATTTCTTAAACTTTCCAATGCTTCTGACCAAGCCTCTCATTTTGGGAAACTCTGAGTAATTTAAGTTGGTGCAAAGTAGAATTTATTTTTGCTTCCTTGCTTCCCTCCCCACCCCCATTAAGTTTGTTTCTGAAAAACAAGTGAAATATTATCTTGATTTGAAAGGCCTTCCCTTTATCAAGAATAGCAAGTAGCTTTTTCCCATAAGAACAGTGACAGGGTTTAGTCACTGCCCAGGTACTTGACACTAAGAAATTCCTCTTTGCTGAAAAGGAGGTAGTTTAGGTGGGTTTTGTTGCTTAACAATTCAGAGGAAGAGCATCTGGTAGCTTTCTGCTCTCTGGCAGGTTTAAGTGAGATCACAATGGGACAAAGACAGAGGACAAGCTGTCTAGAAGGAGAGGGAAGTGCAGTTAAGCATCTACCTTAGTGAGGTTTATCAGTTTTCTGGTGCCACAGCTTTAAGAGTGAGGTGCCAAAGTTCATCTCACTCCATAATTTGTATGGTTTGATGATTAAGCAGGTAGTGAGGGAACCCACAAAAAACAGGAAGCCTATTCTTCTGGAATGGGTCATTTACACAAAGCACCAGCTGGCAGAGAGATCACTGCAGCTGTATTGTAATTGGGTGATTGTGCTGATGAATGATATATTTGTCCAGTGGTCTTACAAATAATAGGTCAAAACATTTCTGCGGGCGTGTAGAACACAGATGCAAACGGGTGCAGAGAGAGCTGTCCAGGGGAAAACGTTCAACAGAGATGAGCTTGTCGTTTGTACTTGTGTGGTGGGAGCACTCAGGGGGTCCAGCTGAACCCAGGGCCCCACCGTATTAGCCATCAGATGTAGGTGGAGCAGGAGACCTTGACGTCCCCTGCCCAAACAAGACTGGAGGAACCCACTTCACAGATGGCAAACTGATGTTCTGAGAACTCCAAGCAGTGGGGACTGCCCCTCCTTAAATTACAATTTTGGGAGCAGATTGATACTCTGACAGTGTCCTTCTGGCTCCTTTTCCTGCACTTCAAGCCTTGGGAGTCAGATGCTGTATGTCCTCTGATCTGCCTGGAAAATGGCTGGGTCCGGTGGATAGCTGCAGCTAAATATTTGGGGAAATGCTTTAGTTTCAGGCACATACTGGTTATCTCTTGGTCTGGTATGAAGGTGCAGGGGTCTGTGAGGGAGCTTTAATGTGGTGCAGTTTTAAGGTTTAACACGCTGTGGGAATTCAGTTTGCCGGCCGGCACCCTGGAAATCGTTTCTGTTCTAGAGACAAACATTGAAATAAAAATCAAGAATAATTTCTTTCTGCAGCCCAGAGAATAATAGAAGAGATGCTAAGGATAAACAGAAATAAAAGAAAACCAAACATGTAATTATCCATGTTTTAGATCCAGCTCCAAGAGGTTTTATGTGTCATCCAGCTAACTAGCTGACAAATGCTTACACAGCTCTTTAGATGTGTCCTCCTCCTTGAATCCTGTGCTCATTGGAGAGTCACCAGGGATGTAGGGACAGAGTGAGTGTTCCTTATGTAGTCATCTTCTCCTTGGGTTTTCCATTTCAAACCCTCCCACTAAGGTTACTCATAATTCCTCATTTAATCTGGATATCAGTGAGTATCACAACTCCTAAAGGTTTATTGGCCACCTCAACCTATTTTTAGAAATCCTGATTTCCTTCGGGTTATAACTAAGCCAGACTTTGTCCAGAGAGTAAACAGAACATGCCAACAGCTCTCCAGCTCCTCAAACATAAACAAGTCATTAATCCATTGTGCAAGGAACGTTCCTTTCAACCAAGGAGGTTGGATTGAAACCATGATACATAATCTTTGGTATTTGGAAGCTGATAAGCCATAACATTGTATCAATAAAGATAACAACACTTTCTGTGAATGTACAAAAGAGAATAACACATGCAGTTCATTGCCCTCTGTGGATCTGGGCTAGATACAGTGGTGACCAACCACTGCTGTAGGGGATGGATACAGCTAAGATTGGCTTTGAGGGATACCAGGACTGGTAATTTTGGGACACACACAAATAAGCAAGTATGTACCCTTGGCATTTCCCCAGCCAACATCCATCTGCTTTGTTGCCTGTTTATGTGTTACTGTCCTTGGGCTAAAGATTTTCAGTGTATTTGCTGTGCTGAGCACAGAGAGGTACCATCCTCTGTAGAAAATGTGGAGCCCTTCTACACCTCATACTTAAATTATTAGTCATTAAAAGACACATTTGACTAATTTAGTGCCATGTAGCACTTGAATTAGAAAGATGTCAGTGAGGTCTTTTCACAGGGGTCTTTAGGTCTTCTCTTGTGGTGCAAAGTACAGGTCTAGATTTACAGTTGTTGGGGGAAATACACCTGAGGTCACACAGGGTGTGTTGCATTTTGTATCGTGCTTGGTAGTAAGCTCTGAACACTGCCCTCATTGTGGGATGAGTGGCTCGTGTTTTCCAGTGAGCTGAGTGATGCAGCAGTGAAACATGTCAGTTGACAGCCTTTGGGGGAATGTCCTGAATTGACACAGTACAGAGAGAACAGACCTAGGTCCACAGGAAAGCATGAAGTGTGACTCAAACTGAGCTTTGTGTGGCCTGGATCTTCTAGAAAGGCTTGCCTGCGCTTGTCTTTCCCACTGATGCTTTTAACCAGTGCTCATGTGTCCCCCAATGAGTGCTGCTGCTCGGTTAGGGGGTTTACATGTGTCTTAGCAGGGACAGTTCAAATGTGTTAATTGTAGAATTGTTTAGGTTGGAAGGGACCTTTGAACATCGCCTGGTCCCCTCCCCACCCACACCACGCCTCTCCTCACGCAGTGCAGGGTTTACTTTGAGGTTGTGTGAGGTTGCTGAGAGGCTGTACAGCCAAGCTGTGGAGCCCCAAACCAGGCACAGAGTTTGCAGGTGGACTCACAAGTGCTGAGCTGGGGGGAGCAGCCCTGTCCCTCATCCTGCTGACCGTGCTGGTGAAGTCCAGCAAGCAAACACACCCCTGACTTGCAGTCAACAGTCACGTTACCTTTGCTTTAGAATTGGTTTTCTACCCAGATTCCGTGTTTTGAATCCCATGAATTAGGAAACTGGAACAATGTTGTCATTTGGGATTTGCAGGCACTTTGCATTGAATACTAAAACGAGCAGTGTTGGCCTTCATTCAAAAACTTTAATTTTGGATTAATATTTCCCTGGTTCTCATAGGGATTGTTCTATCTGTGTCTTCAGGAAACAGATACTTCCATGAACAAGCAACCCTATTAATTGCAAAGGGATTGGCTGTCAAATAAAGTCATACTTGACCCAAATGACAATACATTCTGTGGTCCAGGTTATGAATTCCTTGTTCATTAGTATTG